CTCGCTCTCAAAGTGAACATCATCATCTAGCTCGACATTATCGATACCCCGAGAAGCATCTTCGTTTGCAGTTCCATCGCCAGAAGTGTTTGTACTTTTACGTGTATATTTTCTCTTTTGACGTTTACTTCCAGCACGTTTTATTAATTTCAAGACGACGTCTGATTCGTCGTCACTTGCTTCGATTGGATTTTTTTGTGGCATTTGATAATATTCATTGGATCGTGACAACAGGTAATCAAAATAAGCATCTACATGGACTGAAGCCATCCATTTCTAAATTAATAATAAATTTGGAAAAAAAAAATCAGATTTTCATTCATGTTAAACGCAAATATAAAAATTTTTTTTTTTTTTAAAAAAAAAGAAAAAAAAAAAGAAAATAAAAGAGGAAATAAAGTAGGGTAAAATTATACAAAATAAGTAAAATAAAGAGAAAAAATGGTCCGAAGAAAATAAAATAATGGGTAAAGGGGGTCACGAGGATCTGTGCAGGTGTGACTAAAAATAAAAAAAAAAACGAGTTTTTTGAAAATTTTTTTTGTTGATCGAATAAAAAGTAGTGTAACAAAAGATGTATCATTAAAACCGATAGTGTAACTATTCTAGAATGGTGAACACAATTAAACAGGTTTTTTTCCTGTTCATTTGAAAGAAAGGATTCAAAAAACGGGGTGTGCATAAGGTAGTTTCTTTAAAGAGAATTTTAACAGTAATATTAAGGACTTAAAAGGAAAGAAACATTTTATAAGGAAAAAAAAAGCCTACAATTATAATAATAAATAATGATCGTATTACACAAACCTTCAATCTTACAGCATATTGTTGAATTTTTTGAGGACTAGCTTCAGGGGTACGTACAACACCCAATTTCTGTGCCAACTTTGTCCATGTTCTGATTTCTCCAGAATAATGCTTACCGACAAGTTGGTAAAGGGACCAAGTTTGAAATACTTTTCCATCAGATTTGGGGACGGCATTAAAAGAGCGAATGAGTGCAGCCGTATCTAGAGTTCCTGGTGCCGATGGGTTACAGTACATTATAAATTCAACAAAACGATCGGCAATGTTTTCCTGGTTTATTCCTTCCTTTGGTGGGAGTTGACGACCATTTGTACCAACAACGGAAATTTGGCCGAGATCGGCATTCGCAGTCGTAGAACTTGTTCGTTTTGTCATAGTTTGAGCAGGTGACATGGGAGAAGTAGGCGTCTTTTTAGTGTCCATTGTTGATTGTTCAGTTTGTGATAAGACGGTATTTGTCACAGATTTTGATGTATTTCTCGTCCTTCGAATGACACGTGGACGTGTCGGATCATCTTTTGTAGGTTTTCTGATATATTTTCGTTTATTTTGATTTTGCCCATTGGTGACGGGAGGATTTGTAATGATTTGCGTTTCAATATTTGGCATCGTAGCATTAACATCGTTAGTAGGTGGAATGATCGATTCCGTTGACGTAGTCACATTTAAGGTTTCACCGATAATAGCTGTTTCGTTCATGTGAGATGGTGATGTGGTAAAAGCGGAAGCGCTTGTTGTCTCTTGTTGCTGTTGTTGTTCAAGTACTTGGTTTTCAAAATTGGTGATTACTTCTTCATCGATGTTCATCTGTTGGTCAGTTTCTTGAGTTACATCCAAATCGTCTTTATAAGGCAACGTAAAGGTTCCGGTCGGTATTAATTGCTGTTGCTGTTGTTGTTCCGCTGGGGAAGGCATGTTTTTATCGATACAAAACTAACGTGAAGATATCAAAAATAGGAAAGAAGAAAAAAATTAACAGAGGTGTTTTTTTTAAAAAAAATAAGTAACAGGTTTAAAGATAAAGAGACGAAAGCCAAAGAGGAAAAAAAAGAGTTTTTGTTCCTTTGTTTTTTTTTTTTTTTTGGTAGGCAAAAAAGTAAATTAAGTCGTAGCGACAAACACGAAAAAAAAAAACAATTATTTATTCTCTTTCGTTCCTTTCTCTTAAGGGAGGTTTGGATTCAAAAGGGTAACATAAGGAAGAAAAAAGAGAATACTAAGTTTTACCTATTATGTATGTGCGAAATATTTTTTGAGAGTGTGCAATTTCAAGAGAGGAAGAGAGTCACAAGGTTTTGTTTGTGTAAACACGAATATGCGTTCTCGAACCCTTTGGTTTTTTTTTTTTTTTTTTGAAAAAAAGAATTGCTAAGAAAATTATAGGAAAAAGTGTAAAAACAAAATAATAAAAAAAAAATAAAAAAAAAAAAAAAAAGAAATGTTAATAATACTACCTCCGAAAAAAAAAAAAGGTAAATAAAAATTACGAACCCAGCGAATAAAATTCGAATTAGTTTATGACGTATAACCCAAAATGGACAGTAATATGACGTAAAATTAGAGAATTACACAAAATCAACAATGGGAACCTAAGAATTTTGTAATATATATATATATATATACATATGAGAAACAGGAATAGGAATGAAAAAAAAAAAACGGATAATAAAAAAAAAAAAAAAATTAAAATAAAAAAAAAAAATAAAAAGAAATAATGAAAACTTTTTTTTCAAATATTAACAAAAATTCTCTCCGCAGGACTAGGAGACAAAATTGATTTACAATAAGTTTAGTGTCGAAAAAAAAAAATTAAGTACAATAAAGCCAATAACAATACGTTAAACTTAAATACTAATAAATAATTCCCTCATTTAATTATGATAAAGTACGACATGATAATAAATGACAATTTGTATTAATGAAGTTAACAAATAAGCATGAAATAGTAAGAACATTTACCTTTTATTAAGCAAAAGACGAAAAAAAAAAAATAAAAATTATAGATAGTGGATGGATAATTTGACTAGAATATTTATAACGAAAAAAAAAAAAAGTTAGCAATTGGGGGAAAAGAAGCCTTATAGGTGGATGGAAAATTCGGAGCAAAATAAAAAAAAAAAAATAATTGCAAAAGTTTTTGGCGTGAAAATAAATATATTTCTAAGTTGTAAGTATACAACTTCCTGATTTGGTTATATTGAGAATATATTTGGAAGTAGGCGTTTAAATGTGTATATTTTTATTAATATTTTTTTTTTTTGTTTATTAGTGTTTTTACTACTACAAAGAAAAAATAAAAAAATAAAAATAAAAATAAAATAAAAAGAAAAAAAAAAAAGAAAAAAAAAAAAGAATTTATATAACAATTAATAATAATAATAATAATAATAATATAAATTGACAGTTAAGTAATATAAGAGAAGAATTCATGCTATCACCAACGAGAGAAAAGATTGACGAACGCCGAAAAAAAACAACCGAAAGCAAAAATGTAAGTAAAATAAAAAAATAATATTTGCACACCCATGAAAAAAAAAAAAAAAAAATGTATTATATATATATTTATATACGTACTTGCATTCATATTATTATATAAGCTGATATTGAACAACAAATATAATAATAATATATTTAAAATACATTATAATATATATATAATATATATATTCTGATATATAGCATTAAATCCGATCCTTTATGAACTGTCCAAACAATGGAACAATGAAAACCTAACTAAAGAAATAAATAAATCAAATTTGGTGTTTATATTTGGCATATGCCATTATTAGCATCTATTAACTCAGGAAAAATTAGTAACATAAACTCGGAATCAAAATCAACGAAATAATGGTTTCATTGTTTCCGGCAATATCCCTGTCAATCGTTTGATTTCGAAAGGTTTTAGAATATAATCTTTTTGTGGAACCATAAATTTCTTGTGTGCCTGAACCCTTCTGGATCGTATCACGTAATTAGCCACTAACCTCAAAATTTGGCGACGATTCGAACTAGGCAATTTCCAAATCCGGACCGATCTAACCTCCTAGTTTTATAAATGAAACACAACTTTGTATTCTACTATTTATGGTTTTATAGTTTCATTTTAGTATTAAAAAAGTAACCAATATTTTGGAGAAAGGATAATAATTATTGTTGTTGCTAGTCCTTGTGCGACCTTTTTCTCATTGTGATTGTGTACCTCTATAAACATTTCTCGAGAATTAAGGTTTGATACTTACACCTTCAATTTGATTTGTGATTAATTTGTGAACGGGATTCGATCCAAATTTGGTCGATTCAAATCACACATCATTTGTCAAGTGGCTCATATAACTCTTATTGCAGTTTTATTGATTACACATTTCTAACACTTTTTTCATTATCATGTATGGTCCGTTTGAATGAATTGACTTTCAAGGAATCTTAAAATATTCCCAAACGATTATTCCAAAGAAACTGAATAGAGGCGTATTCTTAATATTAATTTCGGTTATTTCATTTGCTAAAAAGAGTAATGGGTTGAAGGGGAAAAAAAAAATTTTTTTGGCGGGCAAAGTGTGTATATATATATGTATGTAACATCATCTAATACCTATTTTGTGTTATGTAAAATCATTTTCTTTGTGTGGAGTGCTTTGCAATCACAATCATTCTAATAAAGATTTAGGTCGTTACAATCATTCCATCCCCCTAAAAGGCTCAAAAAGATTTTTTTTTTTTTTTTTTTTTTTTTTCTTTTTCTTTTTCTCCTCAACTTTGGAATAAGTGGCTATATTAGGTGGCGTAGCATGTCTATAATCTTTTTCACGTGTATTGATTTATTGAAGGGGGCCCGTTCTGGTGCGTCGATCATGATCAATGTATTTGAATTACTGTATGCGCGGATATTTGGCTGTGAAAAACCGCATCAAAAAAAAAAAGCCATTCAATAATTATAATTTGATTGAAAACCCATCATAATGATGTTAATTCATTTTTTTTAATATACAATTTTATTATATTATTGATATGTATATAAATATTTATAATTGACGTAACTGATTCCCATCAGATGTCGTGTCATTGGTATCTTATTATTTGTCATCATATTTTTTTTGCCTGTATGAGAAAATTTTTTATTTTTTTTTTTCCTCCCCTAAAATGGTAAAATTCTTCTTTTAAAAAAAAAGATGAAAAATTAGCCACGCGTTCTTAATATGGACAATAAAGAAGCATTGGTCAGATATCATCACCTTCCTGAACAAAGTATTCTTGACCAATTTAAACGGCGGGACGGTCAATCTTTATCGTAAGATCAATCCTTCTCTTCATCAAGGTGTCAATTCCATCTTTGTATCACGACATATCTCTCCATCTTCGTCGTTTAGGGATCGTGCTATTCCTGAAATTACGAATGATTTGCTTCCATCTTTTCCTGTGGGAAGATTTAAAGTTTCATCCCTCCTGGAAAGGAATCGTTCTTCTAACCTTTCTAAAAAGGTGAATTCACGTCAAAGAAAAAAAGGTATCCGATTTACCAAAAGTATCTTAGTCATAGTCGATCATGGTCAAACTATAAAGTTATGGGGGTCCCTGTTGCGTACAATGGATCATTTTGAATCCGTACGTTCATAAACAATACGGTTCGTTTCAATTACTTCCCTTTTCGACTTATCTCAATAAACAATCCCGCTACTTTAAAATTCTCATATTCGGTGTCGCCAACTTTTATGTACTGTACATGTATACATATTTTTATTTTAAAATCATTATAAATAATTATTATTATTATGCATAGCAAAAAAAAAAAGTTTCTTTTAATTATTTTGAAACAAAGTCGTGTGATTCAATAAGGATCGACATCGGGCGACTAATAAATTTTTTGTTTTCTTTATTTCAATTTTTTTTTTTTTTTTTTTTTTATGCAGGAATTGGCTTTACCACCAAATAAGAAATTCGTGGCCTCGGCAGGTGAAAATGACGTCCCTATCCTCCCTCTTTAAATACATTTGCGTTAAACAAGTTATTTGCGTTCAAATTATTATTTTTTTTTTTTTTTCATTTTTCATTTTCGTTTTTATCTGTATCGTTTTGGTAGATAGGAAATCCTATGGTATCATTTATACGATATGGACTCTTATTCCAGCTAAGTAATGATAATTAATTGCCATGTGCCGCAGCACCGCCTGACGTTGTGACACGTGGATTAATCTTTCTTACATTAATTAATCTTTAGCTAATTACGTTGAAAGAACATTCGACGTATGTGACCGCCGTCGGATATTGCAAAAGTTTAACGGGGAGTGAAGACGGAACCCTGAAACTTTTGGACATAAGATACCTCGGTCCTCCATTGTGAGAAATTTTTTCATTACAAGTATTCACAAATTAAGGATTAAATATTGCTGAATTTAGCGAGAAAATTTATATATGTAGGATAAAAAGAGGCAGCTATTACATTTAATAACATTTTGACCGATGTTTAAGGAACCATGATAAGAAATCCATGATAAATGTAATTGGTGTCATGTGATCAAGATAGATCTGGATATTAAAAATGAAAGGGGACTTATGTAGGTACAATATGATCCAGTTGTGATCTTCACCGTTACAAGCGGATGCTTAAATGTATGACAAAGATCGTAGTCCAACGTTCGGTAGACATTTCCACGATTGGACAATATTAATTTCCGGAAATAGTTTGGTAAAAATTTGAAAGGTTCATTCCGTCAAATTTTTGTACTTTCCAGCTTTATTAATTGACGAAATCATATTTCATTATAGGGATAGTGTTATGTCTAAGTTTGGGACTTTGGGGACTTTCATAACCAAAATTACATAAGGCAGTGCATCACGCGTTGCTTTATAGTTCTGCATTGCGAAAATCATGTGACAGGACATTTGATATACAATTTTCTGTCTTTTTAAAATCTTTGATGCTTTTAAATAATTAGTTTTATAGAGAATTACGTCAGCAGATTTAACGGGAACATTTGTTCTAATGATTTTCCTTCTGGAATATCATCCTCTGATAATGAGTTGTCTAGTGGGAAAAATACTCCCAATAAAAGTCAGTGTGATGAAATAGACGACAATTTTATTCAAATTTTGAGAGTTTAAACATCCAAGAAACAGTATTAAGAACAGGTACCTTGGGTATTTGATTGTGCTGGTCCAATGGTTCGAGATTATTTATTATTGGTAAAATTCGGGAAACAAGGTGATAAATATCCTTTTGGAATTCGACTAACCTATTATATCTTTTTGTGGATTATGAGAATAAGTTTCATCGGATAAGAATATAAGGTTGTGGAATGTTGAAAGGGGAGAGAAAAGGTCATGAGATTGCTTCATGAGAACGATCTAATGTGAAAACGGAGGCGCATAAGTTAAGTCATTCAATAACTGTAGCGATTAATGTTTTACTTTTTTTGTTTAACAAAAATTTGCATGCGCATATCAAATGAAGTTTAATTAATTTTAAGGTTTGTATTTTTAGAAAGTCTCATACCATTTACAGATATATGAACTCTAGAATAGCAAAATTAATCTTGATCCTATGATGAAATTACGGAAATCGCAAATTACTACTTTTGCAAATGATTACCTCTTTTTTTTTTCAAAAAAAAAACAATGCTGTATTAAGTTAATGCTTTAATGTTACACGAAACGAGTTTAATTCGCGCTAACATTAGTTAGTTATTTTCTATCAATAATATTTTGAATTAGTACTTTATTAGAAAGTGACATTTTTACATATAAAGTTAATATAAAAAATGGGGTGCTTGGATTTTTTCATTGTTAACAAAGCTTTAAACCTATTTTAGTTCTTAAAATAATATATTTAATGCATAGATTTATTAGTATTTTAATTAATATTAATTAAAGATTAATTATTTAATTCTAAATTAAAGATTTATTATTATTATTATTTTATATTATAAAATAAAAATAAAAATAAAAAAATATATAATCTAAAATAATTAATTTTAATTATATATAATCAAATTCAATTATATTTCTTTATATTATTAATAATTTCAAATTTTTATTTACAATCTAAAAATTACAAATATAATTTTAGGTTTATAAACTTAAAAACTTTAAGATTAAATTTTAATATATAAATAAAATATATAAAAATAATATAACATATAATTATTAATAAATAGTACTTTTATATAAGATAAAAATTATTAAAATAAAAGCAGAAAAAAATATAATACATTATAATAGATATTTTGATTTAATTTTTATTCTTATAGTTTTATCCTAATAATTATCTTAAAATTTAATTTTTAACTTTAACTAATAATTATTCTTATTTTAATTTTATATTCTTATTTATATTTTTTATTATTATTTTATTTTAAATTTAAAACAAAATAAAAGGTAATATATTATACTTTAATCTAATTAAATTAAAATAAGATATATTCACTTAAATTAGATTATGACTACTGTTACTACTTTATAATCTAATTAATATATTATAATCTAATCATTACTTTATAACATATATAATACAGATATAATCTAATTACTATATCATAATCTATTTATTACTTTATAACTTGTATTATATAGATATAACCTGATTATTATATTATAATCTAATTACCAATTCATGACTTGTATAATATAAATATAACTTTAATTATCATATTATAATTTAATTATCATTTAATAACCTATATAATACAAATATAACCTGATTATCACTTTATAATCTAATATTTATAATTTAAATATCCTACTATCATAATCTAAATAATACATGTTGTAATTTTCAAAACCTGTATTTTATAAATATATAACATTTTATAAATTTAATAACTTTAACAAGAGCTGTACCTGCTTAATGTATTTCTGTTACTCAAGAGTATTTATTTTATAAATTAATTTTTATTTGTCTAGAATTATTTTTTTTTATTCTTTTCTAAAATCATTATTCTGAATCTATTTTCTTATTTTTTCTCGTTATCTTTTTATAAATATTTCCTCTTTTTTTATTCATTTTTTTTTCATTCCAATTTTTTGTTATATCATTTTAATAGTTATTCTTTTTCTTTTATATGTTTTCTTCTTTTCATTATATAATATTCCATTTTCTCAATTATTTCCTTTTTCTTAAATTTAAGTTTTTAGATTTTCTGTTCAATTATTTTATTATTATCATTAAATATATTTATCCTATATTATTATTATTATCATTTAAATATTATGTGTTATTGTTGTTTTTAATTATTTATCATGTGATATTCTTTTCTTTAATTATAAAGCATTAAATAAATTATACTATCTTTCTTATAAATTCTTTTGATTCATATTATTATATAATAAAGTATACTATTTTAATATTAAATTCATTATTTATTATATAAAATTGATATTTATATATAATTTTAGTAATTAACTAATGATTATTTGATTTTACTAAGTTTTTTTTTAATATTACAATATTAAATACTAAGATCTAGAATCTATTAGTAATATTTTATATATATTAAGATAAACTTTAATGCTATCATAAACCTTGAGATTATAGTTAGGCTCAAAATTTAACTATAATAAGTCTAACCTAAAAATTACCATCTAGACTGACCTTCTAGAACATTAAATCCTAAGACTTCTAACTCTTAGAACTATTATCAAATTTGTATATAGAAATTACTTTCAATCATAGATATTTGTATCAATTTTCTTTATTTTTACCAATATCAATCAAAATCAATATAATCTTTGCCTGATATCAAAATATTAACGCATGATTAGAAAGGCTTTAAATGTAATCATCTATATATAAAACTTAGAAAAATATGTAGCTGTCATACTCATATTGTCAAACTCATCTAAAAATTAAATCTAACCTCTACTTTAAGTAATAGCTCAATTGGATGATGCTACAGCAATACAATGTAGTTTATTATTATCATAGCTTTTTATAGAATACCAAATATACTAAATATTAGTTAACTACTTTCTTACTTATATAAGAGTTCCTGAATTTGAAATCATAAGACAATATCTATTATAGATTTATTAGCAAAAACTAAATTTTGTTAAATCTTAGCTTTATTTGCACCTATTTATTTTATAAGATTCAGTATTTAAGCATTAATTAATATTAATCAATAGATTAATCAATTAATTACTAATGCATATTAGTTTATACACTTATATGTTTAGTTATAATAAATTCTTATGAAAAGCATCTAATTTTATATTTTAGCCAAAATCTAAACTTATGGTTATTACAGTGTAACTTATAATAGGAACTCAATTATTATTAACTAAATTAGAATTGCTAATCCTTATCTGATTTTACTAAGTTTTTTTTAAAGTATAGTAGTTTTGCAATTTTTTATTATGATAGAGTAAATTATATAAAAATAAGATATAAATCAGAAGAAATTACAGAAATATCATTAAATTAATTTAAAATTAATTAAAAGAAAACTGATTTTATATTTCTTTATAATTAAACCTAACTTAAACTAAGATCATCACTTTTGAAAAATAATACACATAAAAGTGAAAAAGAGAGCATAATTACTATTGCATTAAAATTTGATCAATAGAATTCTAGTTACACTAAAAATTGATAGAATTTAATCTATTTATAGTAGAAGAAGGTTAAAAATAAAAATATAATTTAAAGAAGAAAAATTTTTCTTTTTTAAAATCGATACTGATTTTTTCAAATTTTTCAAAATCATAGATGATCTGATAATAATCATTTAAACTTTGTGAGTAGTTTTAAAAATAAAATGTATAAAAAAAAAAGTAGATAGCATGAATCAGAGTTTAAAAGTAAGTTTATTTTAAAAAAATAATTAAAAATGATATTTTTGATGAGAGTGAAAAAGAACATAAAATTGTAAGTTGAAACTATCCAATATTTTAGTCATTTAATTTCATAATCTTATGCATTAATCATAAATTTAAGATGATTTTTTGATTATTAGATAATATTATTTATTTCATGATTAATAATAGGATATATCTAGATATAATAGAAATTTTCATAGCCAATATCACATCTTAAATATAATAATAAAATAGATACAATGACAGATATCTTTTTTAAATACTTTAAAAGTAGATATTAATTTAATATTTTATTTTTTTTAAGCAGAAGACAGTAAATGACATAAAGTAAGGAAGTGTTATTACTAAGTGTAAGAAATGTGGCAAGCTAATTTATCTAATAAATTTGAGATTATTTGATAAAAATTTAGTTTAATTAAATTGAAAATAAATAATATTCAAAAAGTTTTCTTAATAAATTACTAAATAAAGATAATAATAGGATTATTATAGTATATCAGTAAATTTAATAATATGAAATATTACATAAATCCTAAGCCTCATAATCTTATGTAAGATTACAAGCTTATCAAAAAACTTACGTATCATAGTACTTTGATATTTTTACGAGATATAATATTTTGAAAGTTTACGATATATAAACTTTCAAAAGTTTACAATGTATAATATGACAAATCATAGTAATTCATATGTTTATGATATGTAATACTTTGATATTTTTATGACATATAATAATTCAATAATATGTAATATAATGAATTATAGTAATTCGCATATTTACAATATATAGTACTTTAATATTTTTATGACATATAATAATTCAAAAGTTTACAACACGTAAGTTTCAAAAGTTTACAATATATAATATTTTGAAGGTTTATAATAGGTAAATTTATGGATTTTATTATTAATATTCTAATTAATAGTAATTAATTTAAAAAACTTTAGTAAATCATTATTCATTTGTATAATATTTTTTAATTTATTAAAAATTTATTAACATTAAATTTATTTCATTAGATAAGTAAATTTTTCTTTTTCTGTTAATTAACAAGATTATCACATTTTGAAAATGTTTAAGTGAAGAAAGATTTTGGTAAAAATAAATAAATAATATATAAACTTATATAATATTAAATAAATATAACTTATATTATTGAATTAATTCTTCAATTTCATTATTGTATTTAAATACATTATGAAAATGTCTATTTCTCTTTATTAATTCTATTATAATTAAAAATCAAATAAAATTGTTTTTCTCTGTTAATTCTAATAGCTAAAAAACTAATAAAAAAAGAAAACTAATATATATTTTGAAAATATTGAAGAAAGTTTTTAATAAAAATAAATTAGTAATATATAAACTTACATAACATTAAATAAAATAATAATTATATTAAATAAATATGACTTATATTATTAGATTAATTCTTCAATTTTGTCATTGTATTTAATTGCATTTTGAAAATATTCATTTCCTCTGTTAATTTTATTATAGTTAAAAACTGAGAAAAAAAATATCTATAGTCAAAACCAAAAAAAATATATTTTAAAAATGTTAAAGAAAGATTTTGGTAAAATAAATCAATAATATATAAATTTACACAACATTAAATAAAATATTAAAAATAAATATGGCTTATATTATTTGAATTAATTCTTTAATTTCATTATTATATTTAATTACATTATGAAAATGTTCATTTACCTCTGTAAAAAAAAATGTTTATAGTCAAAAAACAAAATGGAAAAATAAAAAGTTGTGATTGTTTGATTTACTTTTAATTAAATCTTGTTTTTTCTTTTGACAATAAAAAAAAAACTGATATATATTTTGAAAATGTTAAAGAAAGATTTTGGTAAAACTAAGACAATAGTACATAAATTTACGTAATATTAAATAAAATACTAAGGGCAGTGACAGATATTACGTAATATCTTAGAGGTGGAGGGTAACGGGGTCCTTATGGGAGATCTTACGTTATATATAATATCGGATCATGTGAGCAATATGATAATCATTATAACAGTGGCTTAGCAAAAATTTATTAAACGCGTATTTTCAAACACGCATTTATACAGATCACATACACGCATATATACTTTTATAATAAAATATTATTCACCATCTGAATTACAAGCCCTCAAGTCAAACTCTATTCACCATACGATCCTGTTTGTTGAGATAGAAGAAAAAAGAAATCATCAAAAGCTTGTTGTTTTTTAGGCTGTCTTCGGGTAATAGAATGCATTAATCGCTTATGATTTGTCAAAAATATGAAAGTGGGGAAGTATTTTTGGCAAATAGAATAGCAAAGTCGTAAGTATGTATTTTTTTCAATCAACGTACAATGTGCATCATATCCTGGTATTTTCAAGAGATCGTCATATTGAAGAAGGTGAATAGAATTTATAAACCGGCCATCTCTAGCTTTGGTAATAGGTAGTAAGAAGTCATTATGTAGGTGAAGAAAGTCCATAGCTTCCTTGGTTCTGGGTGGTCCACAGCAACTGGTATTTGTGCATCGTTTAATATCAAGAGAGTAGGTGCACAAATTACAATGGGTTTCGATCCAAAACTATGGTACAAAAATTCAGAAAAGGTATATATTGTTTCTTTGTCTGTATTTTTTGATTTTTTCTGTTCTTTTTTTCTCCATTTTAATTCTTCAACCTTTTCTTTTTCTGTTCCCTCTAATTGTATATGCTCAAATGGATTCGTGAGTACATCAACATAATGAGTATCAACCTTCTTTCCAAAAATTAAATCACGACACCAAATTTCACATAAAGCTTCTCCTGCATAGCGAAAATTTCGAGCAGCCAATTCTGGATCTACAACTTTCCCTTGCGTATTCAAATGTATACCATAATGGTCAATTAGTAAAGTAATACTGGCAAGTTTACTAGACAATGTTACCATACCTCTTTCAACCAGATTATATTTTGATTGCCCTGAAGTATGTGTTCGCATACTTAAAAAATCTAAATCAAACTTTTTGAAAAGTTGGCAATAGGCCTTAATATTTTTTAAGTGTCTAGGATTCTCATCTGGCCCTCTATCTACCAATAAGATCCATATCAGTCGAATTTTTCCATCTGTTTTTAATATGCCTTCATATTGGGAATTTAAGGTAAGGCTTTCCAAATCTTACATATGTGTAAGTGAGGATGTTTCAAGAAACCAATGAGAACGTATAAAAATTGCTAACTGTCCTATCCGCAATTCATCATTAGATTTGTTTGGGTTTATCATCAAATACACTGACAGAATTAATTTTTGTCCGAACCCTACAGGAAAATCGTGATCTGCTATAGTTGTAGGTTCATTAATGGATTGCAATGTACAGAATGTGCGACTTACTGCAGGCACTCTAAAATTGATTTTCACTTTATCATCTTGAGAGATGACAACTGAAACATCAGCAAAAGTGCTAGCAAATTGCTTTACACATTTTACTGACGCGAGGCAATAGTGACTATCAGGATGTTCACGCATTTCAGTATATGAAACTCCGGCAACAGCAACCCATGTCAGATGGTGATGTGCTTTCGCAGTGATCAAATTTGCTTGACAAGGTATTAAGTAATTATTTAAAGTAGTTCTCGCCATATAGATATCATATTTTTCTTCAAGATTTTTGCATAAATTTTCTATGATCCGGACTTTAACAGCTTCTTTTCATCATTTTGCATCTGCTGATCCAAATTCTATGCAATCATGTATATGGTCATGCAAATCCGGATGCTTGAAGAGAAATGATAGCTTTTCAGATTTATCATAACGGACAATCTCCTGATTTTCAATAAGTAGTTTTAGTTTTTTTTCTCTGCAATTTTGAGTATATTTAGCATTTCTTTTTAACTTAGTAATTTTATCTTTATTAGATTTAATTTCGTTCTGCAAGTTTTCTATTTTTTGTCATTACGAATCTGAGCATCACTGATTATATTGTAAATTTACTCAAATTCGTTAAGCTTTTTTTCAGCTGTTTTGACTGCATCAGCTGCTTTTTTTTGAGCCAATGCATTTGTAGGAATTTCTGATAAGATATTTACTGAATGAATGGTAGGAAGTGAAGGACTTAGTTTTTCTATAAGCATCATAGGTACAGAACGCTTGTATCTCATTGATTGTATATCATAAAGATTAAGCAATGTGGTCATATAGTCTCGAATTATATCATCAATTTTTTCAGCACTCTCTTTCTTAACATTATTCCATTCATTTGTGGCTTCACGACAAACAGCAGTGTGATTAGGAGTATAATTACTTGTTTTTACTATAACACTATATACATAAGCATTTGTAAACTCTTGATACTTGTTATTTGGTGAATCATATATTGGTTTTTTATTGAATTTAGGACTAAAAAAAATGTTTGCCTGCTCATTTTTAATCTTTAGGATAAAGTATTTTGCGTGTTTATGAATGCAAAATGTGAAATAGGTAGCCAAATGCAAAATAAATGTTCTGTAACGCATCAAGGACGTGTTAAAAAACTCCCATAGCAAAAGGTATGATCATTATGGTACAACAACAATATAATTTCACGGAATCTTGACCATCATATTTTCAATTTGATTTTAATAGAATTTTTGAACATTTTTTATCAAATTTAAATAGCTATTTAATTTAATTTATTAATATTTTACTTTTTACAAAGCGTTAATCTTTAAACTTTTAATTTTAACTTTTAATATAGTTAATCAAAAACTAATTTTATCGTATAATTAATCAAAATCTTTGACTCTGATAATAAAATGTCAGGATCACATGATTTGATAGATTTGTACATGATCAGAATATCTTACCTGGGGGTAGGGGGTAGGCACTTATAATAAAATGATATTACGTAATATCTGTTACTGCCCTTACTATTTTTCTACAGTCATCACATTGGCCTTCATTTCCTAAATTTTTCAAACACCAACATGTAGTCGATCTCATCTAATTTCTATTTTGTTGTACATCCATTTCGTATTCAATTTATTGTAAGTATATTTCAGGATATTCCTTTCTATTTATTTGGATTACTTTCTCTTTTTCTTTGGGAACAATAGTAAAATATTTCTAAATATTGATATCTTCTTCCTCTTTAAATTCTAATTTATCTACTGTTATTTTAGGCTTGATTGATGTAAACCTTCCTGGATATATATCTTGCGTATAAGTTATAGGTGTTATAGAAGTTTGATCTCCTTGTTATACGACTAGGATACCAGTATTATAGTTAATGATTGCACAAACTTTTTGCAACCAGGTGTTTCCTAAAATAATATTATATTCCATAGCATTAGTTACTAGCATATCTTCGTTAACAATTATTCCATTAACTTTTACTGTAACTCCTTTAATTGTTTCTAAAGACATCATAGTTTTTTTATTCACTCCCATGATTTTTATTTTTGCAGGCTCATCAATTTCCTTATTAATTTGCTTAAGATACTACTGAGTAACGATACTTCTTACTGATCTAGTATCTACTAGAGCATTTATAGGATATTCTTCCACTTGGGCTTCAATAAATAATGCATCCTTGATAGGTTCATCACGTGCTGTATTACTAGTAATAATATGTTCCTTTAATTTGGATATGAAAAGTTCTTCATATTTATTATGCATTGGTATTAGTTCATTTAAACCAGCCATTTGTAAATATTCATCAAACTCAAAATGTTGCCAATTGTTATATTTGGTAGGTTCAGTATGTTGAGGTATTTCTTTGTTTAGCTTTACTTTATATATGTCACAATTATATGTAGAATCATTTAAAATATATTCCAAGCGACTGTTTACCATAAGTTATATATTTCCTTATTTAGGTTAATTCGTTTTGAAAGATAGATTCCTTTATCATCATATAAGATTCCTAATACATACTTTGGCCTTTTTTTAATAGTAACTTCTCCTTGTTGTTGGAGATCTACTGGTTTAATTGGCTGATTTTTACTGAAAATCCTTTCATCAGTTAGTAGATCCTTCCATTTTACTTCCTTACATTCACATTATGCTGCTATTCCTTTAGCGATCTTATTATAATTTATACATACAATATGACTGTGGTGGTCATATTCTTCACAACTGAAGTAATCATATTTATTTTCATATAGTCCTCTAAATCACATTTTCAAATTCATTCCTTTACATACATAAGATACTTCTATTAAACTTACTTTTGTTTTTGCTTCACCTTGACTATTCTCTTTTGCTTCTTCCTCTTCTTTCACTTTTAAGGGCTTTGGTTTGTTTGCATATCCACCCCTAAGAGGTGCGACTTCTAGTTTAAATGCTGTTAGTTATTATTATTATTATTACTGTTATTATTGTAGTTATTATTATTATCATTTCTATAATTCTTATTCTTATTATTACTGCAGTTATGATTTCTGTTGTTATCATTATGATTTTGAAAGTTTTGACCTCTATTATTGTTTGTACTCCTGCAATCCCTGACGAAATGGCCATACTTTTCACAATTAAAGCATTTAATATTTGATTAATCATTATTCATATGTCGATTACTTCTATAATCTCTAGACAAATGTCTAAGTTTTTCACAATTAAAATATTTGCGTGGCCATTATTGTGACTGTTGCTACTGCTGTTGTTGTTATTGCTATTATTGCTCAATGTTTACTATAATCACTTGTAACCTTTCATTTAGTTTGCGATTAATAGTGCCCTCGATATCTGGCTGCTATATAATATATGTAGGTTGCAATGCTATACTTGTGTGAGTTGGTACCATTCCTCCTTATAATGATTACATGTAATTAAGCATTAACGAATAGGCAGATAATTCTATTCTAATGAAATATGCAGATTCTACTGCTCTGGCCTTTTTGATTGCTTGATCTACTATTGTTGGCATTGCTATTTGCACTAGTACCATAAATTCTGGTCGCAGCCCTTCAATAAATTCAGCAACTCTATCCATTTCAGCTTGTCTATACCGTGAGTCAACTCACTTCCATAATTCTCCTATTGCTGCCGCATATTTCTTAATTGTTTCACCTGGTTTCTGCTTTCTATGCCTAAGCTAATGCTTCCATTGATTTTGTCAAAATGCATTACAGAAATGTTGTTCAAATAATGATACAAATGAAGTACTAGGATTGATTCTACTATTCCAATTGGTAACATATTGTCATTAGAACTATGTCAGTGTTATTCCTGTTAAATAACTGGAGACTATTTCAACTATTTGAGTGGTATTGATACAGTTTGCTTTACAAGCTTGTTTGAAAACCTCAAACTACTTCACTGGATTCTGATTTCCTCCTCTAAATGTTGACAAATCTACCAATCGTTGTTCTCTCATTTGTTATCCTTGAAGCCATCCTGCTAGTCCTTATATGACTTGAAGGTAAGCATTGTTATTGTTTCCTTCTACTGGTACTATAACTAGTTGAGATGTAAGTATTGGCTGAAAGGTGTTTGTATTATTTAACAGTTAACTGCTAGATACTGATTGAGAAGTTGTTGTGCTAATTGATTGAGAACTACCTCCTAGGAGTTCGATAATAATCACATATTATATGATTGAGCTATCATTGTTGACTGTGAGGTTTCTTTGGTAGTTATATTTTGATGTCCTATTGTATTATTTCCTCTGTTATTTGAGTTACTTCTAAGCCAACGGTTATTTACTGGTTGTCAATTTGCAGTTGTAAAGCTGAAGGTTGTAGATAGGTTGCTATTTCAAAAAGAATCAAGTAGTGCCAAGAGGTCAAATATACAACTATATTGAGTTGCTTGGAAAAATTATAAGGATTTCCCAATGATGATCCACTATTTGTATTTCCTACTGATGGAGTTGTTACCCTTAAATTTGATAACCTTGACGATTGATTACTGAATAATGTTGAGACTACTAACTGTTAAATATTTTCTACCTTAACAGGGGATAGAGACCTCCTATCATTACTTGTATTAAATGTAACACTTTGAGGTATTTTACTTGAGGTTCCTCCTCTTTCTAGTTTATTTGCATTATCAAAGAAAGACGTTTCCTGTAATATTTTGTCATCATCATTGACATATCCAAATAGGATATTTTATTCATAATCAGGGGCATATGTGTCATTTTCTTCTTCATTATATTGCCTTTTAACTTTCAGGTATGATTATCGTGGTTGTATATAAAATGGTATGTTAGGTAGTGATTAAGGTATGGGTGTGGTAGTTCCTGATGGTGATCCATTCATTGCCACTGGTAGTGTCATCCCTAGAGAACTTTCATTACTTCCCTAGAAAGGTGCTATGATAGTATTATTTTGATCTTTTTTCATATTTTCTAAAGTATCACTACAATTGCTATTTATAATTAAGTCAGTACTGCTAACACTTTCAATTTCCTACGATTGAAACTGTTTTGTTTTTTTCCAAATTTGATATAATTTATCATCAATGCTATCAAAGGATTCCTTTAGTATGTTGTCCTTATATTTAATTGTAATAACAATTTTTTTTAACAAATATTTCAATAAGCGATCTCTTTCCAAAAAACTAGCTTCACTCTCTTGGGCCTAGTGATGCGATCCGGATAATTTGCAACAATCCGCAGATATCTGTTAGCTAAATAATTTATCCGGATATCTGTATGTATCTGAGTAAATTA